TTTCAGGTAGGTCTAACACACAGTAGGGCTATTAAGAGATTTTTTTTTTAAACCAATTATCCAAATAATGTTTAATCCTAGAAAGCTGTTATTATCAGAGGACACCTGAGCATAACGGTTAGCAGATCAATGAATGAGAGGGCAGCGTAACCAGAGTTGCCCATTTACCACACCTTGTTACAGCACAGTATAGGGCTATTGCAAACAGAAACAATACTGTACTACATCGATGTTTCCTGTCAGCTTGATTTTTGAGTGGACTTTGCTGTTTCCGATGAGCATGAACGGTATACGAGTGGAGCTGAGCGGAGCGCACACGCATAGAGTGGGATAATACGCAGAGCGTCACACCACGTGAAAGTGAATCCTGAGCGGTGAACTAATTTTCGGCAGCCGGAATTTCAGTGCGTCTCTAATTATTGGCGACATCAGATCAGCTTTTTTGAACATTTTAGCAATTTAAAAATACTAAAAAAATATTTTTTACACGGCACCCCTGCTCTCGGTGCTGCGGCACCCCGGTTGGGAAACACTGCTCTAGCCCAATAATGTTGGGGGATCCAGTGGGGGCGGCAGTCATATTTCAGGGTGTAGGCCATAAGGTGAACTAGGAAAAAGAGCCTAGAAAGTGATTTTCGTTCCCACGCCTGGGCACTACTTTTTAAATGCATTTTTGCATAGACAACACCATATTGGACTTTATGTTAAAAGTTCTCCGTCACAATCCATAAATGTGTACAATTGTGAATTTAAAAAAACGAAAACCTTATGCTGCTGGTTTTGCTTATAACTTTATTTATATTCATTTTAGCAACACAAAATATCTCTTAAACTGACCATTATACATGTACCTTAACATTTGAGAAAGATATTGGTGCATTATATACTCAAGTGTGAATGTAGACCATAAAATATGGCAAATTTGTACAAAATACGCTTCAATTTCACGGATTGGCACCAAGCAAAATTAAACATACACATTGTAAATTTAGCAAAACTGTGATGTATTATACATCAAAATTGTGATGTATTATACATCAAAATTAAAGAAGAAGCACACTTTGGCCCAAGTTGGCTGAAATGACTCAAAATGCGACCACACCCCCCTTAATTATGATTAATTCCAAAAATGAACATTTCTACAACAGATTCATTGCAGCTGAAAATCAGCTTAAAATAATGCACAGCACATCTTTACTCATCAGTATCAATATTTTTTACACGGCACCCCTGCTCTCGGTGCTGCGGCACCCCGGTTGGGAAACACTGCTCTAGCCCAATAATGTTGGGGGATCCAGTGGGGGCGGCAGTCATATTTCAGGGTGTAGGCCATAAGGTGAACTAGGAAAAAGAGCCTAGAAAGTGATTTTCGTTCCCACGCCTGGGCACTACTTTTTAAATGCATTTTTGCATAGACAACACCATATTGGACTTTATGTTAAAAGTTCTCCGTCACAATCCATAAATGTGTACAATTGTGAATTTAAAAAAACGAAAACCTTATGCTGCTGGTTTTGCTTATAACTTTATTTATATTCATTTTAGCAACACAAAATATCTCTTAAACTGACCATTATACATGTACCTTAACATTTGAGAAAGATATTGGTGCATTATATACTCAAGTGTGAATGTAGACCATAAAATATGGCAAATTTGTACAAAATACGCTTCAATTTCACGGATTGGCACCAAGCAAAATTAAACATACACATTGTAAATTTAGCAAAACTGTGATGTATTATACATCAAAATTGTGATGTATTATACATCAAAATTAAAGAAGAAGCACACTTTGGCCCAAGTTGGCTGAAATGACTCAAAATGCGACCACACCCCCCTTAATTATGATTAATTCCAAAAATGAACATTTCTACAACAGATTCATTGCAGCTGAAAATCAGCTTAAAATAATGCACAGCACATCTTTACTCATCAGTATCAGTATCATCCCTATCACAATCATCAGAGCCATCATCCCATGTAACTCTTTCCTGTTTCCTGGGAAACATTTGCACAATTTTGGCATCGACAAAAATCAGTACAAGACAGTCTTGCAGACATACAGGAACATCTTCCAGTCTCACATTTGCCTTGGAATCTCTGTTGCATGTTTGCTCAATGGCCTGGTCACAAGCAATCGAGGCAAATCCATGGACACTTTGACGTTGGACAGTCCACTGGCCTTTAACACCGAGTTCGCTGTGGCAAGAAGGATGTGTGAGGGGCAAATTGACCATTTCCAGCCAGTATGAGTACAAAACATCCATGGTTCTCTGGCCTTAAACACTGAGTTCGCTGGGGCAAGAAGGATGTGTGAGGGGCAAATTGACCATTTCCAGCCAGTATGAAGGTAAATACCAAGCATAATTGACATGATCGTATGCAAAAAACCATGGCATCATCAAGCGTACTGTTGACAGGTGAAGCTGCCAGTCCGATTCTCGTGTTGCTCTCACAAACAGAAGGAGTATCTGTACCATGTCGATGTACAAACTCCAGAAGGCAAACGTTGGGTTTTATGCACTTCTTCTTTTCACAAAGTCTACATATTTTGAACACATTTTGTCAAATTTTTCATTTGCACACAAAACATCCATGGTTCTGTCCTGGAATGCACATTTGATTTCACTGATGACATCCATACACTCATTTCTCTCCTCTGGTGGCAAAGATTCTAAGAAGGTGAGAAATCTGATGCGTTGCAGACTCTCATACTAACGTTTGTGTGCCCTCATGCTGCGGTTGTAGTGATGACCACTGATCGCTCCACTGATGGATCCTGGGGCAACAACTTCGGACTCAATGAGTATGTCTTGCAGTCCTGCATCTTCAAACCTTTTTCCTAGAATAATCAGGTAGGACATGCATGTGTGAAATTCACCTAGTCTAATCACTATACGCTGAGTAAAGTCATTGTCTTTCCAGTGGATTTGATGAGTTTTGGCATATATAGCTTGGTCAAAAACTAACACTATATGGTCCAGTTCTAGCTGATCAGCTATTTGGACACTTCGCTTCAGAATTGTGTTTACTGTTGACATCTCTGTCGGTGAAGCCTCAATGACTGGAAGATAATACAGTGCTGACTTTTGCAGAGTGCCATCACCTTTAAGCAATGTATGGAAACCTGTCCAGCTTGGGATTGTGCATCTTTCAGCATCTATGGACTTTAAAACAACATATGCAAGTTCAGTTTGTGCAGCAGACATGGTGTTCAATTTGTATGTGTCTACCTGTAATGCATTACTTTCATGATGAAACAAGTTCTGACATTCTTTCCAAAGCTGCATATTTAAAAGAAACTTGTGGTATTTAAATTACCTGTAGTTTGAAGCATCAAGGTCTTATTGTTTTTTCACAAGATTTAAAAAGATTCTTCTTAGCTGCATCATTGTCAGCACCTCTTGGTTTACAATTATTCTATGGCGGATGATCCTCTCACAGAAGATCTTGTAGCTGGCATCGAAGGTTGGCTCATTTCTGAAAAGAAAACACAGAAAAAAAACAGAAAAGATATATTACTTTATGTGCTATAACTATTTCACAATGGCTTCTATTTTAAACATAAAATATAATAATTGGTAATAAAACATTACTAGTTTATTCTACCTTCCACTACACATTTGATCATATTGAATTGCTTTGCCAAGAGTTGTGCAGTCAAAACTCTGTTTACAGACAAATATACAGACTATGCAGATGGTCAATGCTTTACTTTTTAAATGTACCACAATTCCATAGGGAAATATGCATAAAAACAGCTTTTACAAACCAGTCAGAATGTTTAATTGAAAGTTATTATCTAGTCTGGCTGAATGCACAAGACAAATAAAGTGCAAATAAAATCAATATTTTGATGGCTATGATTGCTTTGTATTTATTAAATGATTTTATTAAATGTTACAAATCTGCAAAAAGCATTTAAATGAACATGAAGAAACATGAGAGATTTAGTAAGAAATCGAGGAAAAGTCTAAGTGTCATCCCATCCTGTGTCTCATTTGGTTGATTGTTATTTTCTTTCTGATGTTCTGATGTGAGATCGCAATCATGTTCTTTAAATTTGTCAAGAAATGACAATTCTGTCATAATTTCATCACCCTCATGTTGTTCAAGCCCGCATGACTTTCTGTCTTCAGCACAAAGAAAGGTGTTTAACATAGGGTGACCATATAGTGCCATTTTAGAAATTAGAAATCCTGGCCAGGACGCGTCCTGGGAAAATGGCCCTAGTTTAGCAGATCATCAGAGCGTCATTGCTTTTTTCATAGAACATCACTGGTGTCTGAGACTGAGCTAAACATCTCAGTGTGTGTGAGTCAGAGAGAGGGAGAGTTTGTCACTCCACATCATGGTCGTGGTCTGTGTTTCTGCTGAACTGACTGTGTTTATTTGCACTCAAACAGCCTGAATAACCCGTTCATCATCACGCGGTCTGTCTGTCGGCGCTTTCGCTCGCAGGATCTGTTGATCTTCACACTGTTTCAGAAGAGCAACCACACTCATCTGCATCAACAAGTGAAATGTTTGCCGTCTTCTGTTCTCGCTGCCGTTCGCTCTCTTCATCTTTTGCTCAGTGTCGTACGATTATTTAGCACAATATGTCAAGCAGTTGCTCATTTTGTACAGAAACACACCCTGAGCACTCTCTCCTGCTCGAAGACTGTTTTTAAATCTTGCTTTATTACCAATGACATTTAATGCATTCATCAGATGTAAATGTTCTTTTCATAGTTTTCAAACAAAGTTTATTAGATAATTGAACTGCGGTTCCTGTTTTATAAAGAAAAATCACAGTTATTGGCTAAGTATCATGTTAATATTATAGAAACTGTTTCTGGGCTGAAAACTATCCTTGATTAAAGTCATCTGGAGTGTGTGTGTGTGTGTTCAGGGTGTGGGCGGGTCCCCAGAGGGTCCGGGCGGGGTTTGAGAGGCGGACTCGCCTGACTCTTGCCCAATCAGAGCAGAGGGGCGTGTCTACATCTGCTGTTCTCGCTGAGTTTCTGTGCCGGAGTTCTGTGTCTCTGACTGAAGACTGCAGCGGTAAGATCATTTCAATCCAATAACTCTACTTCTTTCCGTTACAAGAACTGATCTATTAACAGTATAAACCGACCATTTCAACCAGCTTTTATTACAGCTGTATCCAGTATCTGAGATCTTCTGATAAATTGATTGACGATATGAGGAATGTTTTCTATCCATAGCTGAAACGATACAGTTTCACGAAAAGTGCTATTGGATCATCATGAGTCTGATCACAGAGAGAAAGATGTGACATGAATTCAGAAATTATTTATGGAATATAAAGGTCCTGAATATGTCATTATATGACATAATTTTAGTTCTACACACGTTTGTTTATAAGTTAATTGAGTGAATATAAGTATAAGTGCATTTAATGGATATGTGTGTGTGTGTGTGTGTGTGTGTGTGTGTGTGTGTGTGTGTGTGTGTGTGTGTTTTTGTTTATGATTTTTTCATGTAG